TGAGAAATATTTCTGCTAATTTCACTTGTAAAATATTAACTAAGAAATCAACATCTGAAAGTTTTTAGCTGGAAGCATCTGAAAGATGTCAATAACCTCTGCTCTAAAAAAAAAACAAATATTCAAATTTAGAACTTTGATGATAGGGTCCCATTCATTTGTCTGTGAAATCCTTTCAAACTGCATTTCATACACATTCTATGATGATTTTCCATTATACGGCAAGAATCTGATTATCAAACAAGATGACCAAGCTGGAATATTACCTACAGCAGAATAAGCTATAGTGGCAATGGCATAGATCTGATGTGGATGCTGTTATCAAATGACCACGATTGCAAACATTTCTTTCTACTTTTTTCAATTTATTTCTTGAGCCTTTAAGTCAACAGCAGAAATTTCTTGATTAGCATTCATTATCTTTCTTCCTAATTTTTATTCTATAGCTGCTGTTTTCATATTCATAGCATTTACAGTTTCCACTTTAACATAAGTGATTATAGAGGTCTTCCTGTCAGTGGCCACAGGAGCTGCTTCTTCCCTGCTGGTAGCAATCATTTTCATATTGGCTTTCAACTGTTGTTCTATTTTCTTGGTTATGATGATTCAGAGAGGTCCAATTTCTGATACCAGTTTTTGCAAGCTATGATTTTTGTCAACATCTCTTTAAATTTATTTAAAGAGAATTAATTTAATTTTTATTTTATGGCAAAAGAATTTATTTATTCAATTATTGCAAAAGAATACAATGAACAACAAACATTAGTAGTTGTAAACAGCTCACAGAGAATGCAGATATTAAGCAAATTTTCCTTACAACACAAGAAATATCAAAAATTCCTCATAGCAATCACAAAATAAGCTCTAAAATGCAGTTCAACTAACACTTTGAGCTGCAAACTCTTACAGCTAATTAACAGCTGACTTCTCCTTATTGGATAGAAAGTGTTGCAACACTAGACACTGCACTTGATGTGCTATCGTTATTGCACAATTTCAGCTTTCAAATACTACCACTGAAAAATGAGCAATGATGCTCAGTTGTACACAAAGAATTTCAGAATAGTGAGAAAATGCATATTTAAGCAGAGTACTAGACTTCTTGAACTATCGAGACTTTCGCCAAAAACAAAGAACCTGGATCTCCTTCGTTTCTGGCAGTCCTCCTGAAGGAAGCTTCATCTGTTGACAAGTAGAAAAATTCAAGCATGTCAAGTAGTTGATATTGAAATGTTGAATACAGTACAAAGTCTTTAATTCAGATTCGTCGATTATGGATTATAGATCATCAATTTAAATCTTGTAAGATGGCATGAAGAAATTATAAAATTAAAAATATGAAACCATAATTTATGAAATAAAGAGCATTTATGATCTAAAGGGTATCAAAATTTACAAAAAAAAAAAAAAAGGCTTAATATTTATGTTTACTTTATTAAACTTTCTTTCATGTAAGTTTGTTTAAGTTGCTTCGTTTTATGTGCTAATACTTTCTCTTTAATTTATAAACAGACATAATTCTGTTCGTAACAAATTCCGCTGTTTAAGTCCTGTAATTGCTGTGCTGAAAATAACCGACTAACTTGTAATCGAAATAATCTCTGTCCTTCTTCAGTTAAGTTCTTTTTGACTATAATGCTTGCGCAGAATTTGTAGCTTTGATTGGATATGGACGTCCGACTTTTGTCTGTATTATATATATCTCAAAGAAACTTTTTGCTTGCATGACCGTATCACTATTTTTTTTGTTTTTTTTGTTTTTTTTGAAATTACAAATTGGGCACCTTTGTGGAAGGCCAGTGAAGACGTCATGGAACCGTCCCATATGATAAAAAAATGGGACTGGCCAAAATTTATATATATACAGGATGATTCAAAACTTGCCTTTCAAATTTTGTGGGAAGGCATGGAAGACGTCAGGAAACCAATTTCATGTAGGAAAGTATGTCTGCAAATGTTATCTACACAAACAAAATGGATAAGTAAAGTTAACATTAGGAAACAGTACAGTTAAGTGGTAATGAATGTGACCTTTATTTCAACAAGGTAAAGTAAAGGGTGACAGTAGTTTCCGACCATTCACACAAACACAGGATTCACAGTGCCATTGAATAGACCGCCGAACATTTTCAAAGATGCATTTAAAAATTTATCTGTCACTAGATTCAAAACAGAAAGATCCGTAACATTACACAAGAAATAAAGCATTATATAGAAAACATGTGGCCACAAATTCAATCACACAAATAAAACCTAAATTTATTACCCAAATTACAAACATATCAGTAAACAAAACAATACACAAAAACAATAATGGGTTATGGAAAATCCCATCGACCATTTTTGCCTATTAAAGAAAAGACGCTACACTACGCAATTTTTCTACAAAAATGGAAAATTCTTCGGCTGATCTTTGCAATATGGTAACATTTCCAAAAGTAATATGGAATGTAATTTGGAATATGAAATGTTCCAAATGTAATTTGGAATATGGTAACACCTCCAAAATGTCGACATTTTGGAGGCGATAAAGTTTACTACCTAGGACTTTGGGAATAATGCGAGAAGTACTCAGTTCCGATTACGCATTATTTTGTGTGAGGGAAATGAGAGATCATGAGATATGTCATGTGACATTAATGGATGAACCACTGTCCTTTGAATCGGGAAAAGTGGGGTAAATTTGTAAAAATATCTGCTGTACAGCATAGTTTCATTCTGTTCTGTGAAGCAGTTGTTGTTTAATATTGGATCCCATGGCCTATATATAGTAAATCCGAAAATTTTTATTGCATTTATGTGTAATTGAAAAGATGCTTAATTGCGGATAAGTAAGAATGTCCAACATGTGGGTATGAAATGAGATTGTGTGAAAGGAAGGATATTAGAGATAAGTTTGAATGGCGGTGCAAGAAATCTGGTGAAAATGGACATTTGTGATCCGTCATGCACTCAATTCTGTAGAAGATTAGGTAAGTTGAATTTTTAATTATTTGAGGATATTATTTTTATGCATGTTCTAAAGTAAGGAGTATAAATTTATATGGTATTATTGGAAAATTGTTATAGCATGATTTAGTTTAAAGTAATTAGCATTAAAAAGCTAATTTTTATTAATTTAACATATGTGCTTATTTATATTTAAGCAGTGTTTTTTAATTTAATTATATTTTAATTTAATAATCATTATTTGGAGTTATATGTTTGTAGTATTTTGGAATCGTTTGAGTAGAGTAAATGTGCATGGAAGAATTTAAGTATTTGGAACCATTTTAATGTTGCATTAGAAATTGGTAGGTGAGGTTTATATAGATAATTTAGAAAAAAAAGTTTTGGATATTTTATTATTTTATAAGTGCAAAATGTCATCCTTGGAAAGGGTATCTTTTTTCGCGATCAGGTAATTTCATATATGTCCTTTTTACGAATTTTAAGATTCACAAAATTTTCATGCATTTTCGTGAAATTTTTTATTTATGAGAAAAAAGCAGTGTACATGGAATATAGTGAAGAGTGTGGGCATGCATTTTTTGTGCAATTCTGGGATTTTTTTTAAGTAAAATAAGTCGACGTGTAATGGTTTAATTATATTTTAATTAAATGATAGTTATTTTGTGAATATATGTTGCAGCAATTTGGTATACCTTTCAGTGGAAGTAAACGTGCATGGAAATAATTTAAATATTTGACACTAAGTTTTGTTATGAATTCGTCGGTGACGTTTATAATAGATAATTTAGAGGTAAAAGTTTTTGGATATTTTATTTATATTATACGTGGAAATGTTCATCCTTGGATAGGGTATATAATTTTTCGCGATCAGGTAATTTCATATATGTGCCTTTTAGCAAGTTTAAAGATTCACAAAATTTTCCTGCATTTTCGTGCAAATTTTTGTAATTTATGAGAAAATAGCAGTTCAGATGGATAAAGTCAAGAGTGTGCACAATGCCATTTTTGTGCAATTCTGGGATGTTTTTTTAAGTAAAAATAAGTCGACGTGTACATGGTTACTGTGTATGTGCGATTTTTGAAAAACGTGGCAAGGAGTTTGTGATTCTGCACTTTTTCCCAATTTTGCAGTTAATATTTGTCATGATTAAGCAGTTTTGTTCAATAAAATTTCTAGCATAAGTTTAATTCGGCTAGTAGATTGTTGGAAAAAGTGTGAGTAAATAAAAGAAAAGAAAAGTCTTTACTTCGTGAAGACAAAATGGCGGCGAAAAAAAAAAACAGAGGGTTGCTGTAGCAGAGTTGGTCGCCAAATTTTCGCCAAAAAATCTCCAAGTTACCATAATCCAAAGATCAACCAATTCTTCTTCAAACACACTGGGTTTGGTGTAATCTTGATTACATGTGTTAGTTATTATTCTTGAGTAAAGATTCCCTTTTTCCCTCTATCACACATTTTTAATGCGTTATAAACAGTTATCCGAGAAGAAAACACGGAACTACTCTTCACAATGAAAAAGAAATTAAACTAAAGAAAGTGAACAAATTGTTACAATAAGAATAGAATGTTTTTTATTGTATTTAGTAGACTTTTTTTTTTTTTTTTTTTTTTTTTTTTTGCATGGCTGGCGCCGTCTCTCGTGGTCGACGGGATTTTCCATAAGTTTCCAACAATGCATATAAACAGATAATTCCTTAGAGAAATTTGCAACATTACCAAATGAAATCTGTGGGGTGCACTTAAACATAAAACTAATGTACAACGGCTACCAACACAACTTAATGGATTTTCTGATTATAAGCTTGTATCAAATGATAAAATTTAGAATCCCTAGAAGAATTAGAAGAATTTAGAATTTAAGTATTACTTTTGGCAATGCATGGAAGAGATCTTAAAGTTATTGGCTGTAATAGCTTTCAGTTTAAATACTAATAAATTTACCAAAAAACAGAGAAAAATGTTATGAAATTATTTCCTTACTCCATTAATGGAAACCTTAATTGCATACAATCAAAAGTACACCAAACTGCAATTCATGCAAACTTACAGTAATATGTGTCCATGTTCTCCAAGTGGTTGATTTCCTCCTCCACCATAAACTTGCTTTATCATACTCTCTTTAAAGAAATCAAAAACAATACACATAAATTTAACAAGAAATTTTATTTAAACAAGAATGGTGTTTAAATTAAGCTAGATAAAGTAATCAATATACTTAAAAACAGATAACAAATAATATCTAACATTTCAGTTATTATTCTTCATGGTACTTATGTCTTATCCTGGAAGACAACTTTGGTAAGTGCCAAAATTGGTGAAAATATGCTAATAAATGCTTACATCCCTTTTGCAATCATGTCTTAATCTTTGGCATGTTCTTTTAAGCACTTGATTTTTTGTTCACAATTTATTATCTTCATGGGTCTTTCAATTTATAAAATAATAAAATGGAGGCTATATGATTGTTTACTGTTTCTGTTTTATAATATTTTGAATCTAAACTGAGGCTGTATCAAGGCAGCTGTTATTTCAGCCAAATAACACCTGCAGTTACCTTTAAACCAAAGTAACCAGCACTTATTGTGCAAAATTTACCTTACCTACAAAAGCTACTAGTCCAGGATAAGATACAAGTACTTTTGAGATCAATTAATTGTTAACTAATTTAAATTTTTCAGCTTTCCACTGTTCTTTACAATATGCTTTTTTTTTTTTTTTCTCAATTATGCTCACCATTAATTGCTACATGCTGGATCAAAAGGCAACAGCTAGATAACAGCTATTTTCAATAGCAGAAACGATTACAAGGGCTACTTTTCAAAAATGAGTTATGGCTTCATGGAAGATTACAAAAAAAAAAAAAAAAAACTGTGTAGCATTCGCATTACACAGGGCTGAAATCTTAAAACAAATATAAAAATGAATTATAAACCATACACTTTTGCTACGATAACTCACAAACTGCTGTTTCTTCTTTTATCATCCCTCTTTCTATAAATCACTATCCTTCTGTTAAAGGACCTAATGAATTTACATATTTTACACACTCATAGATACAGATACAGTTATGTGAATTACTTTGCATTAAACTCTCAATCGTACAGATCAAAGCAATACCCTTTATCACTATCAAGACAGAAAAGGAATAGTAAAAGGTGACTTTTCAATAAAAAAATTAAAATACTAAAAATAATTTTAACTATTAAACACAAAACTTTAGATGCATATAATTTGTTTACAATTTATTTCCAGAATTTATTGCATTTAAATATGAATTTTTAATGAAAAAATAGCAAAATTATTTAACTATTACACATAAAATTTTAAATACATATAATCTGTTCATAATTTATTTGCAGAATCTATTAATGATAAACAATGGAATGGATTATTTCATTCAGAAAATAGACTTGCAGAGATTTTGCTCGCCATAAAAGATATAGTATGTCAACATAAAAAAAGTATTTTTTAACATGTTGACTACAGATCTCATGTCATGGCAACGAAGTATATACGATCAGATCTAATAAGCTTCTTGACTTAATCAATCTATATATAATCCACTTTGTAATTTTATTAAAATTTATATCACAGAATTCTCGATTAGTTTTAATTTACTACAAAAAACTCTTCAATGTTTTGACGGATAAATTACAATTAAGCATAACCTTTCGTAATGTTAACTAATTTATGAAATGAAAATAAAACTTTAATCTTAAAAAATTTAATCTTGAAAAGAAAAGACAATTCAGGAATGTAGGTGCATCCCAGAAAAAAAATGGTATCAAAGTTAGTTATTGTAAACAAACATATAAAGTTAGAGATTTACGAATTCCAGTTTTGTTTTTCTTATCTACTTACCTAAACAATGTTCATCTTCAGCAATTTTTCGCATCCGATCGTTAGAGCATTCCATTTTTTTTTTTTTTTTCAAACACACTATTTTATTTAGACAATAACACAGAGAAAATTGAATATTTACATTAGATTCCGTCACTGCATTTCTCAAAAAAAAAACGTAAAATAACAGAGCAGACTAAAGCATGAAGTATCTTTTTGCCTGTTGCCAATCGGATTTGGGGATTTTCGGCTCAATCCACAATAACCCAGCTTTTCCGAAATAAATCCCCCTATGTGCATATTTGTACTATTATTATTATTATTTTTACTGTATATGGTTTGCTTATTTTTACTCTCGTGCAAGTTATTTAAAAATGTAAATGAAAGATGTCCTAACTTAACGTCTTTTTATTTACAAGGCGCATGCTAAATTCACCATGGTTCGTCGCATCTTGACACTCGAGAATAAAATACGATCTGTGTGTGTGTGTAAATTCACAAGGAACTGAGAATTTACTCAACTGCGTGCTTACTATCATTTTATGGACCTAGTGGAATTTCATATACAGAAGAAGATAAAGCTAAATCTTTTGCGGACTATATGGAAGATACATTCACTCTTAATCCCACTCCGTACGACAATAACCATATTAAACGGGTCAACCAGGTGGTCAATAACTTCCTTAATTCCCCTGCTCCGTAAAACTTCACTTTCCTGACTACCCCAACAATCGTTGCCAACACCATCAGCGCCTTACGAAGAAAGCCCCAGGGCACGATGGCATCTCGACCAAAGCACTGAAGCATCTACCGATCAACGCTCTTACCTGCCTAACTAAGATAATCAACAACATTATCAAATTCGCTCATGTTCCTAACTCATGGAAACAAACTATAATAATTGTTTTTGCTAAACCGCAACAAAATCCCACCTTCCCACAAAACTATCGTCCTATCAGTTTACTTAGCTATCTGTCTAAAGTTACTGAGAAAATCCTACTTTTCCACATCCAAAAAATTCACCCTTCCATGAATTTTTTCCCAGAGGAACAATTCGGTTTTCGTAATCATCACAGCACTTGCCACCAACTTCTTAGAGTTATCAACATTATCACTGAAGGCTACAACTGCAAGGTTCCGAACGGTGCTGTATTGATCGATATCGCGAAAGCTTTTGACAGGGTATGGCATCGAGGCCTTATTTACAAACTAATCACTCTCAATTTTCCGGATCATTTTATTCGCTTAATAGCCTCTTTTCTCAGCAACAGAACATTCAGAATCAAAATCGGTACTGCTTACTCTACCACCAGCGTAATCAATGCTGATGTCCACATGTGTCGGCATTTTCGCCGTACTTTTTTAATATTTATACACAAGACATCCCTAAAGACCCTTCTGTTCATCTTGCACTCTTTGCCGATGACACCGCCATACTTACTACAGCCTGCACAGTTATCGCCGTAAGAAACCAACTCCAAAACTATCTCATAAAACTGGAAAAATGGCTCACGCTTTGGAGGATTAAAATTAACAGTGATAAAACTAAGGCAATAATTTTCCGTAAAGGAAACATGAAATACTATCCTCCACCCCCTGAAATATTTGACGAAGAAATAGACTGTATTAATGAAACCAAATTCCTTGGAGTCACCCTTGACCAAAAACTTACCTTCAGAACCCACTTCCGGTCCGTAGTACAAAAATTTTAAATCACCACAGCTCCTATGCGACCTCTTCTTTGTAGAAAAAGCAACTTATCTACTACAATTAATTCTATATCGCTCCATACTTCACCCAGCCCTCCTTTATGCAGCACCGATCTGGGGACATGCAGCTAAAACCAATATTAAAGAATTACAAATTCTACAAAATAAAATTTAAACGAGAAATTATCATGCTCCTTGGTATATTCCAAACTCTATATTCAAAGAGATCTTTGAATCGAACTTATTCAAGAGTATATTAAACGATTAGCGGTCACCTTCTTTTAATCAGTACAAACCCACAGTAATAGCCTTATTAGGACTCTCAGACACTCCCCGCATCCCAGAGAAAAACATCGATACCCATATGTCATCCTACCTACATAAGAATTACAACCTTAATTGACTCATTAACGCTAAATTGACTCTGCGGTTTACTACCCGCGGCTACATCTTATAACGACACTGAACTTACCACCCCCTTTTCTTCGCAGCCGCTAGTACGGACCTCACTCTCTTTTTTCCGCCTCCCACACTTCCTTCCACCCTACTCTTTCTCCTCCCACCCGATCCTTATCAGAAGTCGAGTGAAAAGATGTTTCTACATCTTGACACTCGAGAATAAAAAACAATCTGTGTGTGTACTATCATTTTATAGCACTCAGTTTTAATTTTCATTTAAGCCTCCGGAAAACTAACAATAGCATTATCCTACTGCTCTCCAGTAAATGTCATTAGACCTAAGGCCATTCTTAATAATCTAATGCATTTGCTATGTCATTTATGTAATTGTTTGGCGTATTATTTATGTAACTGATGATGTTACGTAATTGTAATTCTATATTAACGTATTTTTCAGTTGCCGATTCTGATCACATTTACCTTATACGTTCATTCTTTCTGTATCATATTTTTCCTCCTTCAAGAGCTCTCCATACGAATAAACTGGAATAATAAACCTTCGCGCATCTTGCGAACATTTAAACTCGTACTACAGAACTATGGACTATTGAACTGTACTTCCACCAGCTCGTTCAGGATATCATTTCAGCGTATCCTGACAAATGTTTCCCTACTAATGAATTACTTTTCAAATTAATCTTAATAATTTATCTTTTATACATGAATCCGTTGGAACTGTTAATAAGCAGATATTTTATTATCAGCTTCGACAAATGTTAGGTCCTATGCTCGAGTACTCAAGTGATTACACCATTCACTGCCTGGCTTAGGGTTTAAGCCGTAGCCAATAAGGAACGATGAAGTTGCGCATGCTTAAATGTGCAATTGACTAAGTGAGAGCGAAACCATTGACCGAATGTCAGCTCGTAATTGCTTTGATGTGATTGGCTAATTCTTACAGGACAGGATTTAGTTTGACGAAATGCTAAGCTATTTGAGATATGGGCTCTTAATAAGAGATGTAAATCAGTTTTTAATATGGGATATAGTATAATTTTTGGGTGTTGCCCTAAAAATGTGGGGCCCTGAGCTATAGTTTGTGCAGCTTATACGTAAATCCGGCACTAGGTTCTTATACCAAATTGGCATAAAGTCGAAACATTTAGGCAAAACTCTTGGATCTAAGCAGCTTTGGTTTTTGTAACGTAGTAGATCTAGTTATCCAGCAACGGAGCTCGGCTTGTACTTCCAATGACAGTCGTCTGAATGAATTTTTAGAGGCGTTTCCAGTTCTAAGTTTATTTCGTTAAAATGCAGAAAAGAAAGAGATTTGGTTTAGTGTTACTATGCTTGGCTAAACATTGAAAGACTGTTGGGTCAGTGGTTATCCTTGGAGGTATTAAAATCAAATGTTATTACGCTGAATTGCTATTATGTGAACAGAGCTCGGAAGATTTTGTATCAGTAAACGTAGATAATATATGGCATTAGAAGCATATTTTATTAATTTTAATAATACTGAAAATCTCTGGAAAAATTAAAAATTGAACACATTATATGTTAAATGTATTCAAAACTGTATCGATTATGATTAGATAATAATTAAGGTAAACTCAGAGGTGACCGCCAATCCATTGGTCAGCATTGACTTATAGGTTGATGGTCACTGACAAGAGGGCAAAGCAGAAAAATTTGAGATTATTAAAATAAAAGTAAACTGAGGGATACTGGGGATCACTGATAATGTTACTCAGCAATGTGGCTTTGCACAGTAAATTATAAATAAGTGCGTTTGTTATTTTTTATGCTACTCAGTGTTTTTTAAGCATCACAGTAACTGACAAACTGCATAGATGACAAATGCATGCTAATCAATACACCGTATTTATAGCGTAACACATTTTTTTTTTTTTTTTTTGTAAAACTTATAACAAAATCCACACTTTACAGGTATTCTTCTGAGGATAGTGATGATCGCTTAAGCCATTAGTCACTAGTGTAGCATAATACAATCAGTTTAGATAAGTTATTAAAAGAAAACTAAGCAGAAAGATTCCCACGCCCATCAAGCTTGCTAGTCATTAATTAATATATAAATCGATGATCAATGATGCAGTAAAGTTAGACAAATTATTAAAATTATATTAAACAAGATACCAACAACCTATGGCACCATTATAGCAGTCACTAATGTGAGTAACAGTTGCCGAGAAGTGTAAATGATAAATTCATGGTAAGGTTCTTAAACGTTGGAAAAACATTTCTATACATATTTCCAACATTAAATACTACACCGAAGAAAGGATATATCACTGTGGGAAAAGTCACGATAAACAAATAAGAATTACACTGTACAGTATAGTACATCTTGAGGATAATGTAAATTACATAAATGCTAATCAGTTTTCATTAACTCATCCTGAGAAATTAAAATCAACAAGAAACATATGCAATTAACACCGTTGCATTCAAAGACGACAGTTTGCAAAATAGCTAGTTCAAAAAAACGTTCTTAATAAGGGGGGGGGAAGAATGAAAGCAGTAACTTAGTGCGGATAGTAACAACTCAAATCTTTGAATTTCTGCCAGCATTTTGGAAGTTTTTCAAAGCCTTCGGCCTCGAAACTTGGCCGCGAGTCCAAAAACAGATCAACCTCAATTCGTATGTCCTGTGCAGAATGGAAGATAGAACTAGCAAGATGTAGCTCGTGTGAAAAAAGGTAGAAGTCCGAAGGAGCGATGTCGGGACCATGGCAAAAGATCACATTCGAGTCCTTACAGAGTCTAGCTGGTGAATGCAGGTACATGCGGTCTTGCATTATCTTGATGGAGCATTACCTTTTTGAGCCGGAACTCAGTTCGACGTTTTTCCTTGATGGCAGCGTCAACACAGACTAGTATCTAGCTGTAGACCTTGCTGTCGAGGGTTTTACCTTTTTTCCAGATATTCTTTGTGGATAATACAACGGCAATCCAACCACATACAAAGCATGATCTTTTTGTTAGTCAAAATGTGTTTTGCGAAGCTGCAGAGGGGCTCAAGCGAACCACCTTTTCGGCCTGTGTTGTTGAAGTAAATGCAGTTTTCATCTCAAATGACAATCC